TACTAACAATCGAAAAATAATAACACATCCAAAAATTCTTATTGAAAAAAAAAAAACTAAACTATATGATTGTTATTTATGAATTTTGTAATGTCAAGTCAAAGCTACCTTCAGGCATGGGTTATTGTCTTATAAAGGAATTTAAGTCCACAAAATACCAAAAAAAAAATTTAATATTATTATGTTGAAAAACAATATTGAAAAATCATATTGGCTTGGACTTTGGCTTTTGAATTATAGATTAAGATAATTCTTTTTTTAATTCTTTTTAAAGCATGATTTAATTGTAAGGGAATTTGGTAAATAGATAGTTAACTTTCAATAAATGTTTACCATACCTTAGCTTAAACCATGGATTAAGTTTTTGTATTTTTTATTTTTCTTTAAAAAAATACATAAAGATATTGTTTTTGTGATATACATAAATAAGAAATTTATGAAAATTCTCAGGACTATAAATGATTTTTAATAAATTCCAGAACAAATATTTGAATATTCGATCAAATATAAGGTTTTCTTTTGAATTTAAATAATATTTTTTCATCACTTGATAATTTTATCTCAATCTTCTTTCTTTTCTTTTTCTTTTTTTCCTTAAAAAAACAATTAAAATAAAAAGAAATATAAGTTTATAACAACACGTTTCGTCGGCCAGATCAAGAAAGTCAAGACCAGGAACGGTCGGGTCGGTAACCATTAAATCTCCCGACACCCACAAACACAAACGTTTCCAAGTTTCAAAATTGATCCAAAAATCCAGCAACCAAATGGCTGAAACTCAGAGACCAACCACCATTATTGATTCTTTAGGTGAAGAGATAGTCAGGATTATAACTCCCGTTTCAATCTGCATGCTTTTGGTGGTCTTTTTGGTCTCCATTTTGAACACAGACTCGTCCTCCTCCTCATCTTCAGTCACAACTATTGCCACAATTGCATACTCTGAAACCAGCTCAGATTCCACTTGGGACAAATTCTTAGGTGCCCTTTTGAACTCTCTTGTTTTTGTTGCTGTTGTCACTGTCGTTACCTTCGTTTTGGTGCTGCTTTTTTATTTTAGATGTACAAAGTTCTTGAAACTCTATATGGGGTTTTCAGCTTTTGTTGTGTTGGGGTTTATGGGTGGTGAGATTACTTTGTTTTTTATTCAGAAGTTTAGTATCCCAATTGACTCTGTTACATTCTTATTGGCTTTGTTTAACTTTGCTGTTGTGGGTGTGTTGGCTGTTTTTATGTCCAAAATTGCCATTTTTGTGACACAAGGGTATTTGGTTGTTATTGGTATGCTGGTTGCCTATTGGTTCACTCTTTTACCTGAATGGACCACTTGGGTGCTGTTGGTTGCCATGGCATTGTATGATCTTGCTGCTGTTTTGTTGCCTGTCGGACCGCTAAGGCTGTTGGTAGAGCTTGCAATATCGAGGGATGAAGATATCCCGGCGCTGGTTTATGAGGCTCGTCCTGTGATTAATCAGGATTCGGGTTCGAGGAATGGTGTAAATCAAAGGAGGGTGTGGAGAGATAGGAGAAATGCTGAGCATGATTCAGGCGAGAATTTGAACCATAATTCAAATTTAAATGCTAATATTGGTTCCAACTCAAATTCTAGTACTCTTGTATCAGTTGGTAGTGATCGTATTGATGCAAGATTGACTAGAGCTGAAGAAGGGCAGGTTATGGAAGGGGATGCTGAGCTGTCTGTGCCATTAATTGATCATAGAATGAATGGTCGTCTGCATAGACAAGAAGAAGATGCATCGAGTGAGAGTTTGTTGCTAGACGGTATTGGATTGGGGTCAAGTGGTGCTATCAAGCTGGGGCTGGGAGATTTTATCTTCTACAGCGTGTTAGTTGGTAGGGCAGCGATGTACGATTTTATGACTGTATATGCATGTTATCTTGCTATTGTAGCTGGTCTTGGTGTTACACTGATGCTATTGGCCTTTTATCAGAAAGCTTTGCCTGCTCTCCCAGTGTCAATCATGCTAGGTGTACTGTTTTATGTCTTGACTCGACTGCTACTGGAAGTCTTTGTTTTACAATTTTCTTTGAACCTTATGATGTTTTAGAGATATAATTGATATGATTCTAGTATTTAACGATTGTTCACAGAAGTTAGTGAATAAGTTTCATGATTTGTTGTTGTAACTTACATTCTTCCTATAATTGATTCCATAATTCAATTTGATACCAGTAACGTTTGTGTTAAACTTCCTTAAGAAGCTTAATTTGTTCTCACGAAAAATTTGAATTTGAGTTTTAGGAAGAAATTTTAAATGAGGCTTCGCGTTGACCCGTTATGGAAACTCAATTTGCCTTATTTTACAAGCTTTGATAGCAGAAAACTATCTAAGACTGTGTCTAGTGCAGAGATCCTGGTGTATGAGCTGTGAGATCAGGTTTAACAGAGACCTCAATATGCAGTGAATATTGACCAAAGAATTTGATTTCTAAAACACAAGAAAGCTGTTATTTGTGTTGTAACTAGCTTTATTAGCTAGTTTGTATGCTTTACATTGATGCAGTTAAGAAAGCAAATATTTAAGCTTTGTGGTTACTGCTATCTGATACTTCACTTGCCTCTCCAAAATGAATTTAATTTTCACATGAAAATTGACTGGGAATTATTTGAGCTATCCTTGACAGTATGTTATGAGGTACTTCTCAACTCTCCTTTTGAGCATGATTTGCATTTCACTGTGCAAGTGCATGATACAAGATATGTTACATCTTGAGCTTTCTCTATTAAATTTATTTTTCGTTGTTTTCAAGTTCTTTTGATACAATAAAGCTGCAAAGGAAAGATTCTATTTTGTTTTCTTCTCTGTTGCTGAGATATTCTGTGATGTAAGACAGATGCAACCAACCATTTTGTAATTCTATTTTCTTAGGATATTAATTTGGTATCTTTATTACATGAGTAGTTTATTTGATTTTATATGCAGAACACACTTCATTCTATGGCTTTCTTTCTGCATTCTGGCATTTGAATGAAAGACAAAATTTCGAAGCATATTTACATGCGCTTGTAAGTTGTAATCCATGTCAGGTAAGACTATGCACGCATGTGTCTTGTTAAAAAGACCAAGGTTCCATTAGAGTTTGGCAGCACCCAGTTGGATTAATGTTAAACTGGGTTGGATTGGTTATGAAAAATTATTCTTCTGAAAATTATTGTCTGGCTGAGCCTTTCCTCACGAAGTAAAAATATAACAAGAAGTTCAGAATCTATTATACTGCCGGTGTAGCACTCAAACTCATCTCACATGTACAGAAAGGTCTCAGAAGAGATTGAAACTAGTGAGCCGTTAGGAAAACAGATTGATATTAAGTTAAAACGATCCCTTTATAATAAACCAAGTTCTCCTGTTCAAACTCCTTTATTTTCCCTGCTCTGTCAAACTGAATGACCGTCTCCTTCAAGTTCATTCTTCCTGCAACTGACCATTTTACAGAAATCTTCCCATTAACTATACAAACTAATCTTCAGTGCTTTCTGAACTTGAATTCACAGGACTCACTAGAGCACTCTAATGCTAGTAATGAAAGAACACAGAGCATAATTATCCCACTCATGACTTGGAGTTTGCGGTTATTGTCTTTAATCCTAAAATCTAGAGACATTATTTGTATGATGAGAAATTTGATATGTAGTCAGATCATAAGAGTCTTAGACATTTGTTTACTCAAAAAGATTTAAAATTTGAGACAGATCGTGGATGGAGTACTTGAAGAATTATGATTGCTCAACCTGTTAATTCTTCAGAGGGTTGATGCTGAGAGTCATTCTGCATTATGAAATAACTGATAGATGGTCAACTGAATCTTCTAGCGGTCTGATATTTACTGAATGAATCACTTGGTTTATTGCAGTTTGGTACCCAATGCTTTCATTACCTACTTTATTTATTTAGTTATTTTTGTTTCAGTCCAAGATTTTCTATTGAAATCCACAAATCATCATTGTTTTTTTATTTTTTTGGATCATCGGGGGTGTTCAGATCAGTTTGTACATATCTCAACTAATCATCCGAGACTCTGAAACTATCAGTCGGATAAAAACTCTAGTGACCCTCTTTATTAGTGCCTGAGGAGAATCATCGTTGTTTTCTTTGTTTTAACCAAATAATATTTATGTATCTTGGTCGCTGTAAACTAAACATCTTCCATTATAATATAGAAAGCAAAGATGTCGTTAGCTTGTAGGCCACTAGCTTAAGAGATCATCACATTTGACTTAATGTAATGCATTGTACCAAACCATCAAATGCAGAAACAACCTGCTCCTCTTCATGGAATTCAAAGAATTATATAAACAATACACAGTTAAGTTGATTTCTTCCTGGTCTTGAAGTCTAAACAAAAAGTATTTAAATAAACTTCATAAATGTGTTGATTTTCTGAGTCTTGAAGTAAGTCTTGACTTTGTTCAGTCGTAGAAGCTACATACTGTAAGTACATTACTTTAATCCTTCATCAGCTCTTTTTTCTCTTTATTAAACTTGAAATCTGTCAATGGCGCAAAACTTTTTTGGATTAAAATTATGAATTTGAAATGTGATCAATAACTTCCACACAAATCAATAAATAAATAAATTAACAGAAGGTAGGTAAAGTCCATTGCCGAGCTAACCTGCCTTTCAAATTCTTACAAAATTCAACTCATAAAATTCAATTATCTTCAAACTCGCCGCAATGTGTTTAATCAAGTATATACATTAATGTGTTAGGAGTATCAAATTTCTAACGACAATATTACACTTATAACCCAAGCTCACAAACTTTTTCTCACAAATTTGAAGTAGCAGTTCACAATTGATCAGTTTGTAATATAATAAATTTTCCCGTTTAATCAATTACAAACGGACTAATTACAAGTTGTCACGTCGGGGTTATGAGAGAGAGTTTGTGAGATTAGATTGTGAGTCAATCTTTGTTAAATTTCTAATGGAGAATTTACAAATACACAGAGAGTAAAAGAGTGAGCATGAGAAAGAAAGTTGAAAGTATTGAGCATTTTATTCCAAGCCAAGGAAAAAACTAAAGACAAAGAAAGTAAGTGATGTTACAGGAAGAAAAACTTGCTAATTAAACAAAACTACAGCCAAGCTCTACTTGAACTGTTGAACATTCTGAGTACAAACATATAAATTATAATTACATGTACATCTATGGCAATCATCGCGAAACGCGCAACAGCAATAAGAAACAGAAGATAATGAGTAAAAAACGAAGTTGTTGAATCGTTATCTCTTTTGCGAACTGTGCAATGATCTTGGTGATCCTACAAAAAGATCCAAGAGCAATGACTCCAAATCATCTACAGAGTACTTGATGTACTTGTCGCTGATATGGTTTCTCCCCAGAAAAGTTCTATATGCATGGATCACTTTCAGCGAGCTTGAGATTCGTAGATCTTCCTTAAGCTGAGAATCTGGGATAGACCATTGTGTTTGGCTTTTGTAAACCTCCTCAAAGGCAAGATTGAATCCCCTGCACCTTTCTTTAGGAGTTGCCTTAAAGAAGGTATTTGAATGTGGGCAATCCCTGATAAAAGAAAGGACTGAACTCCATGTGGCTCTCTCATAGCTTTTTGCATGCTGCTGAAATTTCCCATTATGCTTTCGGATCCATTCGTCACCAAAGAAAAGCCTGAGGTCGGAACCCTTAACCTTGTCGACCATGTAATGGATGTTATTCATAAGAAAGATATGCCGTAGACCCTCCTCTTTGTATAATTTGGATTTGTCAAAAAGGTTGCATTGAAGAGCGGATGTAACTGACCGAAGATGACAAGCTAAAGGACAAAAAGTTACTGAAGAAGCGTCTTGCTCATTTGCTGTCTCAAGAACTGGATTTGAATGATCCGAATCTTGGTCCAAAAGAAGCAAGTTAAGGGATTCATCATACAAGGTGAGGGTCTTGATGTAGTTCATAACATACCTTGTGAGAGGGTGAATCCCACCTTTAGGGAAAGGTTTTATCGATGTGTTGGAAGCTATGGCAATCTGAAGTTCTGAAAATGTAGCCTTTGCAGAATAGCCCAGTTTCCTTAAAAGCTCATGGAACTCAATCCTAATATAAGAACCAGCCTCTTCATATAATAAACCATCTATGTCCGAGAGAAGATCCTCCAGAACCTCATACATGTCCAGCAAGCGAAACAATTTTTCTGGCTGAACAGAACTCATTGCTACAGCTTCCCCAAAATTCAATAGGCAAATTAAGGATGCCTTTGCAATCTCGACAAAGCAAAACGAGCTAATAGTTCCATACTCTCCCAAGATCTTGTTGCATAAATTTTTCTCACTAGCCAGATAGACCCGAATAATGATCTTCATGGCCCAGTTCCATTTCTTGATCTCACTACTCAAGGTACGCCAATTCATTTTCAGCACATCTTCAATGCTAATCTTCTCCAGTTCAAGAATGACAAAGTATTCAGTCAATGCATCTTTCCTGACACCAACGTAAGCCTCGCAGAATTCCTGATCATAGTTAGCCCCAAACATTACATTTACAATGGTCTTGATATCAGGAATTACATGAGGTTTGATCAAGTCTACAATATATTCTCCAGATACCCTGCCACTGTTAACCCTCCGGGAAGATTCATCACTTGATTCATCCTCAACTGAAACATATGACTCATCATAAACAACATCTTGATAAGAATGAAAAGACACATATTCCGGCTCAAAGTATTGTTTATGCTGAACGAGGATGTGGATCAGCTGTTCCTCAAGCCTCAACATTGTCATCTGCAGTGCACTATCAGCTCGGGAAAGTATTTCTTTCTGCTTCCCGTTTCCTTTCACAGACAATCTTCTTAAACTTTCTATCAATGTTTGAATTTCCTTAACAGCCCCTATATAGTCAGAAACTTCCTCAGTGCCAGTATCCCATATCATTGTGTGATTTGACTCCCAACACAAGATCCTATTCTCAGCACGTTTGAACCGTTCCTCAATTTCAACAAATTCCCCTCCCCTGCTTTCAGTGTTTCCAGTCATCTTGGACAAGTGTCCATCAAGATCACCAAGGACTTTTCTCATATCATCACTCAAATTCTTCGCTGCCCGTAACGCCTTCACAACATGGTGAGCAGCAGCGAGCAAATGTTGTTCACCTTCATGGTTGGGCATCATGGACTGATAACCAGCCATATCAAAGAAGAAAGTAAACAGAAAGATTGTATTTATGTAAACCTCAAACACTTCCCCAAAACAAACTCAACGCAAAGCCTTACCGACTTCTAAATCAAGATTTTGCTGAACCCACAACTAGACTTATTTCGAGCAATAAAATTTAGACCAGATTGAGGAGACTACAATTGCAACAAAGAGCTGGATTTAACTACAGAAGCAGAAACCTCTACTCAGTGTTTGCAAATTGACAAATACAAGTTAGAACTCTACAAGTCAAACCAGCTTATTTGGGCCACAGAAAGTAAAAAAAAGTAAGGGAGTAAAAATAAAAAACCAATCCAATCAAAGATCCTTTTTTAGATGAACTACTGAAAAGGGATATAGGTACTATTGGCAAAAGCAATATAGTACTCTGGATCAGAAATCCTTAAAGAAGAAACTATACTGTCCAAAAGAACGAAAAAAAGAAACAATAAGGAACTGAAAGGTAAAGCTTTTCTCAGTCACCATCTGGAATGACAGCAACAAAGAATATGAAGAACAAAAACATCAACATAACACAAGAAACAATAACAAAACCAAAACTCTCAAATGGACATAAATTGAAACTCTTACTTGAGTCACAAAACTTTCACTGTTTCTCTCTTAAATTAAAACTGTCAAATGAAGATTTACAAGTCTTTCTGCACTTGTGAAACATACAAGAAACCTGATCAAACAAGGATAAAGTTAAACAAATAGAACCTCAAAACTCAAGAACCCAAATGAAGATTTGACCAAGAAGGAAACTCAAATGATCAACACAAAACCCCTCTTGTCTCTTTTGCCTCTCACCAAGTTTAGCTCATCCTTCTAGCAATAGAGAAATGGAAAGAACCCTTATAACAAAGAACACAGAATCGAAATTCAGTTCAATCTGCCAACAAAGAACACCTTGAGATAAAATAAATACAGAATAAAACATCATCAAAGAAAGTCAACCAATGTTAAAACAAGAAAAAAAAAGGGAATGAATAACAAAAATTTCCTCGCATGAAATTGGACTCCTGGGATGGCAAAAATGAGAGGAAGAAGCAAAATAAAAGAAAATTAGAAACTAGTAACTTTAAAACTGAAAGAAGGAGAACCTGCAATGTAATTTCATGGTTGTGGAAAATCTGAGTACACGCAAGGCTTTGCTTTGTAGTTTCCTCTTGGACCAACCATCAACTTTTCAAAATTTAACATGTAGTTGAATTTTATTTATTAAATACTTTTAAAGACAATAATCCAAGTCAATAGACAACAGTATCTAGATGAAAAGTGAAAACTATTGAAGATAAGTCCTATTCTTGAGGGCTTGGGAGCCAAATGAGGCCAAATGGTGCTCCCCCTGCCTACAATATTTAGGGAGCAAAAGGGTATGTATCCATCAACACCACATAAAAAGCAATAAAATAATAAAATTTATCGAATCAAAAAGTCAATTATATTAAAAACTCTTTTAAGTATATGATCACTCCATTGATGCAAAATCTTTTACTTTGACGAATGACACATTTTATCTTTCAATTCCAACATTAAAGATAATAAATTTTACATTTCAGATAGCAAATTGTATCTTTAAAGTTTTAAAAATCAGTTTTTTTCAGAAATTATCAAATAGAAAACTGATCTATTATCACCCACTGGGGAGAAAAAAAAAATCAGTCACCACTCTTCTTCCGAAATGATCGAGTGTATATATATTGCATTTTGTATCAATCAAAATCTTCAAAGTTATTAAAATAAATCAGTTCTCCACTCTTAACCCTAACCCTAACCCTAGTTCCCAAATGTATAATTGGGTTACATTTGTGAAGAAAAGATTCGTACTTGAGAAATTCTCTTCAACAGCCAGCGCCGACAGGGTGTTACCGGCCCAGGGATATAAGCTGGATTCTCTTTCTATCGTTTTCAGTAGGCCATTGTTACGGTTATATAACGACAATTATAATGACATTTTTTTCTAGGTATTATGTTATTATCCATTCTTCTTTTTAAATTAATTAATTATTTATTTATTTAATCCTATGATGATTGAGATTCGTTTCACGCGTTTTCAGCCACGTCATTTTATTTATTTTAGTAACTGTCATGTTTTCAAAATGGTTTATTTTATTTTATTTTACTAGTGAATCACTTGCAATAAAATATAAGCAGTCAAAATTTCCTCACTAATTTTTTTTCACAACAATAATACAATTGTTCGTAATTGATCAAGTGATACCCATTATTAGATAGATCAGACTCATTATGAGTTGACCAATTACAAACTGTCACGTCGTGTTTGTGAAAAAAGTTTGTGAAAATAGTTTGTGAATGTAGTGTTACTCAATCATTTAATATAAAACGTAATTATGTATCCCTTAAATATTATTAAAAATTTTCCTCTAAAATTATCAAAAACCATGTTATAATCAGGAAATAAAATAATAAAAAATAGTTCAAAAGATATTTAAATTTTGTTTTTTTTATAAAAAATGATTATACATTTTTAAATTTCATTAATAAGTGTTATTTATTGCAATTCTATATAGGTAGATGATGATTTAATTAAAGATTATAATTAATAATTTGTGAATCTAATTATTGTGCTGACCAATTAAATAAAAATCAAATATGTTATCTATAATACAAAAATAATAGTTTATTAAGGAGTCACCCATTGGCTTGGGATGGCATTTCAATAGCATAAATATTAAATAAATAGAAGTAAAGGCTTTTTCCCACCCAAATAATGGCTCGATGATAACTTTCCCACTCGTTGATTTTAAAAATATTATTTTACTACATAAATTTATATTTCGTTTCTATTTCGGTATCGTTACGACCTCACACCATCATTATTCTCTTCTTTGGTCATCTCTCATCAAAACTTTCAAACCCAACCCCCATACATCTTGTCAACTGTCGACAATCGAGTGTTAGGGTTTGCTTAAACCGCTCTTGCCAGGTCAAATTCCTATCAATCTCAATCACCAAAATCCACCTCCACCACAAAAAAACTCATGGTCTCCTCCTTCAAAAGCTCTTACAGTTTAGACTGAGTTGCCTTTGTTTACTGTCAGAATATAAATTTGGGTATAAAATATATTTAAAAGTCTGTAGGTGAAAAGTGTCATTAAACCATTGTTGGGTAAAAAAAGCTTTTAACTCAATAAAATAAGCCTAAAAGAATTAAAATATAGTTCACTTGACAATAAGTAAAGTAAACATAGGTTTGGTCAGACTTGTAAAACAGTCAAAAACCCATTCTTGAAGTTAGACTTATAGTTTTTGAATCTTTAAAAATTTCTTTAATTTTTTAATGAGAATATGATATTAAACAACCAATAAATATTTAGTACAGTGCAAGTAAACTGGCCCTGACACCAGTTTCAAAAAAAAAAAAAAAAAAAAAAAAAAGTTTACCCCTAAAGGAGTTTGTCTTTTTTAGTATTTTCACTATAATGTGTACTTTTAACTTCTAAAAATTAATTACAGAACTTAAATACATATTAGGTAAGGCTCAAATAACTAACTCTTTTAAATTTCATTTGGTGAAGGCCCATTACGGCCCAACTTTCACAAAAAGCTAAAAAGTGATTATATTTTTATTAACAAATATTTAAAATAAAATCATGTTTAATTAAACACTATAAATTGAAGGAAAAAAATGGAGTTGTTGCCGATATATTAGGGTGAATAATAAATAGAAATCCTTAGATAATATATAATTATTTAAAAATTCACCAGAAATAGCTCCATTTCTAGAAAAAAAAAAAAAACCAAATAAAGTGAAGTTGGTAGCAGCTTTTTATTTTATTTTTTTTATTAAACCAAAACCAAGAAAAAATAAATAATTAGAAGTTCAATATCCCACTATTCTACCAAGGACCTAAATTTGATTTAATTAAAAATAGGGTTAATTATACTGATACCACCTTGATGTGTTTAAAATCATGCAAATACCACCCTTATGACTCACACCGTTACTTTTTCGGTAAAAAAGGGTAAGTTCGTCATTTCAATAATTTAAACATGAAAATCAAATTTTTTGGAGTAAACGACAAGTTCCCACCAAGGTTTAGTTAAATGACACTCTCACCCCTGGCTTTGTAAATTCCAGATTCGTCCCTTTAAATTAACATAAAATTATTTTTTTCAACAGTTAAAGGGTAAAGTCGTAATTGAATCCACTCATTCCAAATCACTGACACAGTCGTCCCACCCCTCTCGCTCCTTCCTTTATCTCCCATATTCAGTCAACCACCTACCATCACCCTTACCATTGCCGCCTCTTCTTCCACCCATTTTTCATTTTCTTCTTCTTCTTCTTCTTCTTCTTCTTCTTCTCCTCTCTTTAAAATAAAAAGAAGAATAAAATAAAGAGAGAAAGGCCAAGAGAAAGTTAATAAAAGTTTTTATTGAAATGGGAAATACAATAAAAAAAATCTTGGTGAGAAGAATGCATCCTCCATCTCAATCACATTAGCTATTTAAAGACCTATTCCACTAGGCCACTTCCCACAAATCTCTCCAACTACTCACATCATATTTACCACTACTAAAATCTTATCTAGATAAAAACAAAACAAAACAACCCAAGCCACTTTCTACCGTGAACAAGCCTCACGTGATAGCTATTTAACTTAGTAAACAAAATGAATAACATAAATAAATGAACCACAATCTAGAGTTGGTCAAGGACCAGTCCCAAGCAGGCCTGGGCCTAGGCTTGTTTGGGATTGGTCCTAGGCCCATGAGCAATATTAAGACCTGGACCGGTCCTATGGACCTGGAAAATCTCTTTTCCCCCCTTGATCTTTTTTTTTTATATTTTAGGGGCAAAATGAAATTTTGTAGGGGGTTTTTAGTATTTTTCAAGGGTAGTTAGTTAGTTTCTAAAAATTTAATTAATTTTAAAAAATAATAAATAAATTAATAGTTAATTTTAATTTTAATTTTTTAACATAAATGTAATATTCACATTTCATACATTCACGCTTCACAAATAAACAATTAAATAATTTTTTATAAATTATTCATCTTCATCGTCAACAATATTTACATCATTGAAATTTATATTCCTAAAGAGTTCGAGTAGTTCAGGATCTTTAGGGTGCTATTGTAGTTTTCTTTCTACATGAATCCAATCCCGTAAACACATTATCACTTCAATCATCTCATCGGTTAAAGAACATCTTCTGTCTTCAACAATCCGACCACTTTTTTAAAATGTTGACTCATATGCAATTGTAGAAACCGGTACAGATAAAATGTCACGTGCCATTTGGGCTACAATGAGGAATCGACTTTCATGTTGGTTCCACCATTGAAGAATATATATATATCGTGTTTCTTCTTCATTGTCATAAAAGACATGTCCACTTGTAGATAGTGATTCAACTCATTTGGTCCATGTATGTACGAGTTGGAGTTGCTACTTCCACCACGTTCCATATATGTCCACTTGCTCGATCCTTGACAGAGGGCTGCATCAAGGTCCTGATCGTCTCTCCTGAACGTTCCACTTCCACTTCCATTGTACTTATTCTCATATAAAGAAAAAAGGCTATCTAATTTTTGTTTAAAGTCAGTCAAATAAGACGTATAATCATGTCCTAAATGTTGGCCTAACTCAGTAATTATACAGTTAATTATGTGTAATTTAAACCTAGGATCTAGAACAAGGCCTAATCCATATAAGAATGGAATATCTAACCAATATTCTCACATTTTTCTTACATCTTTAAAACAATTTCCCTTAAAACGTTATTATATCTATGTTTAGTAAAAGTTTCAGCAATTTGAAGTAAAATATCTAACACTAAATTAGTAGATAATAAATATCACTTAATGTATTAGTAGCATCATAAAAAATTTTAAGAAATGAATAAAAAAGTTCACAAACGCCTAATCATCATAGCTGACAACTTCCTCTGGATAGTGCTTCCGGTTGACAAAATCTGTAATTTGCTTTACGGTTGGCAAAGTTTTTTCCAACATCAAGTGTGTGGAGTTCCAACAGATAGGCATGTCCGTACATAACTTAAAGGTCGAACCGGTGGGTCTTCTTGCTTACAATATTTGACATACTCCTGCCATCTTTTATTGCTACCGTCGACGATAAATTTGATAGCCGTGTGCACCCTCTCCATCTTCGAATGTACAACATCTAAATCTGTTTTAACTATCAAATTGATGATGTAGCAAGCACATCTCTAGTGAAAAAATTTGCTTTCACCACACGGATCCAATATCTTTTCAAACAAAGAAATTGTCGCGGTATTAGCGCTATAACTCTATCAGTTAATAAATATTCTTGCAAAACTTCAAGAATTGTAAAATAAATAGTTTCAGACCCATTAATTTTTGTTGTAAACCCCGATTATGATCTAAGAAATGTACTGTGACAGTTCAAAAATCGGTTTTTGATCTACAATCTCATATGTCTAATGTAAATGCAATAGATATATTCCTAAAATTTTGAAATTCTTTTTAAGTTTATTATTTATTTTGTTATAAAGTTTTAGTATATCTCTTTTACTTGTACTTTTACTAATAGGGATATATGTTTGACAAAATGCAGTTTTAATCATATGAATAAAATAAGGATTTTCAGATAAACAAATAGGAAAGTCCATAGCAACTATGAATCTTACTATTTTCTCTCATGCAACATGTGCACTGTATTATTATGTTGAGAGAGTTGAGGATTGTGGATTAAAATTAAGTTGAGTTTGAATTTTTCTACTTGATCTGGTTGAAGATGTACCGGGCAACTGCATTATTTTGGGGTGCTTCTTCTCCACATATCGTCGCATCGTTGAAGTCCCCTTTTTATCGCCAATAATGGTTCCACAGAAATTACATATCCCACACGATTATTCCCCCTCCCCATTTGTCTTTGGCCGTTTTGATTTGGTGAAGTGTCGTCATACATTGGACACGACCCTCTTTGACAGTTGGGGGGGTTGGGCTATGCCCGTGCTCGTTGACTCACAGCTCGCATGTGTTTAGCTACACCTCGTCCCGACCGAATGTGGTTGTGGAATTGCAGCTACTGCCTCTAGAGGAAATGGTGAAAATGGATTGAACATTTCCATTTCTTCGGTGGATGGAACGTAAAACTCATTTGGGGATGATCCTCCAAATGCATCATTTCGGGAATCCATTATGAATTTATGATAAAATAATAAATAATTAAAATGAAAAGAAATTAAATAATAATATGAATAAGAGATGATATTGAAAAATAGAATAATATGAATAATTTATAAATATAAATATAAATTGAATGAGAATTTGATTGGACATTTGGAGTAGAGAGATTGAGTGGTGTGGAAAAAATGAAAGATTTTAGGGTTATTTATAGTGTAATAACCCCCCCCCCCCCCCTCCCCCTGCCCCAAAAAAGAAGGTTATAAAGAAAGTAATTTTTTTTTTTATATAAATTTTATAAAATTTTATTTTAACCCCTATAATTTATGTTTATGTCAAAATTTATAAGGGGTTTTACGTAATTATACAAAGGACTAAAACGAAAAAGTGTAAAAAAATTTGGGCCCAGGCCCGGGCCTTGGAGGAGGGCCCAATGGAGGGACCAGACCCTCCTCCTTAGGCCTAGTCCTGTTTTAGGACCAAGCCTCCTAGGACCGGTCCTAGGATCAGGTTTTTGGGCTGGGTTTTTGGACCCAGTCTCAAATGCCCACCTCTACCACAATCACATTGTCTCGTACGTTAAGTTGTACTAATTTTTGACACTCCCCCTTAGTGCAAGCTTACGATCAACAATACCTAAAGCATCTTGAAAATCTTCAAACTTAGGCCTTGCCAAAGCCTTAGCAAATATATCAGCCACTTGATCGCTGGTATGAATTCCTTTCAGTTCATTCTCTTGATTCAATACTTTTTCATGAACATATTGATGTCGGACCTCAATATGCTTTGTTCACGCATGGAAAACTAGATTTGATGCAAGTTTGATAGCATTTTCATTGTCACATTTGATCTGCACAACATAGTTAACTTTGCACAGCATGTCTCTAATCAACCCCTTCAACCAAATGCATTCGTGTGCAGCCATGGTTGCTACCACATATTTAGCTTCGATGCTAGACAAAACAAAAACAGCTTGCTTCTTGCTACACCAGGAAATCACAGCTGAACCAATGTTAAAACAATAACCTGAAGTTGAGCGACGATCATCTGTATCTCTAGCCCAATCTGTATAAGTGAATCCACTCAACAAAAAATTATTATATCTCTTATATAAAAGGCCATGACTGAGAGATCCTTTTAGATAATGTAAAATTCTTTTTGCCGCATCTAAATGGGGAGTTCTTGGATCTTGCATAAAAACTGTGAAACAAAACCAACAGAATATGAAATTTCTGGCCTTGTGATGGTTAAATATATTAAGCTTCCAACAAGTTGTCGGAACGTTTTAGCATCCTTCAACAACTTCCCTTCATCTTTCTTCAACTTGAGATATGACTCCATAGGAGTAGCCATTTCTTTTGACTCCCCCACACCAAAACGTTCCAAGAGACCTTTTGCATATCCTTTTGGAGAAACAAAATAACCTTGATTTGATTTTTCGACTTGTAGACCAAGGAAACATCCAATCTCTCCTAGATTTTTCATCTCAAAACACATAGATAAATCATTCCTTAAATGAGAAATTTCTTATTCATTATCTCCTGTTATTATCATATCATCAACATATAATAATACCAACAGATGCATATTTGATTCTTATTTTATGAACAAACTAGAATCTGAATCTGAAACTTTAAAGCCACAAAAGATGAGATATTGAGCAACTATACCATACCAAGCACGCGGTGCTTAGTTTAGACCGTATAGTGCTTTCTTTAACCGGCATACATGATGTGGAAATTGCTTAGAGACAAAACCTTGGGGTTGCTCCATAAATACTTCATGATCCAACTCTCCATAAAGAAATGCATTCTTTACGTCAAGTTGCCACAACTTCCAATCTTTAAAAGCAGCAAGCGAAAAAATTGATCTCACCGTCACCATCTTTGCTACTGGACTAAAAGTCTCCTCAAAGTCTAATCCATAGCTTTGAGAAAAACCACGGGCAACTAAACGAGCTTTCAACCTATCAATTGTCCTATCTAATTTTTTCTTCAACCGATAAACCCATCTGCAAGTGATTGGCTTACAATTTTCTGGTTTGGGTACTAACTCCCACGTCTCATTTTTGTCTAATGCTTCAATTTCTTCTTGCGTTGCTCTTTCCCATTTTAGACAGTCTTTGGCTTCCTCATAGCTTGTTGGTTCTTCTACACTTAAAGCTCCTATAAAGAAACATGAGGTCACTGTGCAATGATTAAGTTGTACCTCATAATCTTTGAGATAATATGGCTGCCTAGTTTCCCTTGTTGATCTTGTCACTGCTTGTTGCTTACCATCTTCTGGTCTTTGAATATTCTGCCTTGGCGATTCATTTTCTATTTCATCATTAGTAGATGCTTGTAGATTAATTTCAGAGATAGAGGCTCAAAGTTGTCTTGATCATCATCAAGAGCAATATTTTTTACCACGGGCTTTTGAGCAGAACATAGAGATACTTCATCAAACACCACATCTCTAGAAGTAACAAATTTATTTGTTCCTGGATCCATACACCTCCAACCCTTCCTATAAGAGTCATAGCCAACAAATACACATTTCTTTGCATTCGAGTCAAGTTTGGATCGATTAGATTTAGGAACATGAACATAACAAATAGAACCAAATACCCAAAAATAATTCACATTTGGCACCATATAAAATCTCAAAAGGAGATTTTTGTGTACCTAGCCACAGAGGTAACCTGTTTATCACATGACATGCACATTGAATAGCTTATGCCCAAAGCTCCCGAGGAAGATTCTTGTCACGCAACCATGAAAGACAGACTGAAGCAAGATGACCAAGTTTCCTTTTTGCAACTCCATTCTGCTTAGGGGTATCGGGACATGTCATTTGACGAAGAATACCGTTGTCATCACAAAATTTGAAGAAATCATTTGACATATATTCCCCACCATTATCACTCCGTAGACATTTTATTTTCTTCCTGAAATTCTTTTCAATAGCATCCTTGAATTCCATAAACTTGGATAATGCTTCACTCTTCTCTTTCAAAAATTTCACCCAAGTGAACCGTGAGTAATCATCCACCAATACCATAACATAACAATGTTTGTTATAGCTTGGTGTTTTCATTGGTCCCATCAAGTATGTCGATTTGATGAACTTTTGAAAGGAAGACAATGTGATTTGCCATATTGGCAACCTTGACAAATCACATTCTCACGTACATCCTTCAAAGTTGGAATGCCATCTATCAACTTTTTAAAAGAAATCTGCTACAACATTTGGTAGCCTACATGACCCAACCGAGCATGCCAAATTGCGGCACTATTGATTTGGCTCGTTTTCTTTACATAGGCTTCACCTGCTGACATAACGAACAAAGAACCTTTCTTCTCACTAGTAAGAACAACAACAGATATATCTTTCACATTATTAAGCACCTTCACATCATTTGGCCCAAACAAAACATATTTTCCAGAATCTGTAATTTGAGAAACTAAAACTAAATTTTTCTTCAAACCTGGAACATGATAAACATCATTCAACTTGACACTGCTAGTTCTTGTCTCATCAGCAACATTGATTGTCATGGCACCTTCTTTTGTTACCGGATAAGTTGAGTTATCTGCAGTAACAATAACCCACTCTCTATGGTGTTGACGCATTTCTGAGAACAATGTGTCATTTCCTATTACATGGTGTGAACAACCTGAATCAATGATCCACTCCTCTTTGTCATTGTTGACATAATTAACAAGAGTTTAGACTGACTTTTCTTCAACAGTAAAACATTGCTCCCATTTGAGTTGATCATCTCCTTCACTTACACATGCAACATTAGCTTTGGAAATCTTCACACGACAATTCCTCTTGATATGCCAAGTTTTCCCACATCTAAAACATGTGATAGATTTCTTACTTTATGAATTGCCACATTTCTCTGCACTTGAGTTTTCTTCATTAGTCTTGTTCCAGGCTGATGTATTCTTCTTGTTTGGCTTCCCCTTTGAGAAGAGAACAGTGTCAGATTCAAAGATTTTTGCCATTCGTTTAGCCAAAGCTTCTTGATTAGAGAGCAAGTTCTCTAACTCCTCTACAGAAGGTTGTTGTGACCACCCTTGAATAGAGGTGATGAAAGGCCCATACTCCTTTCTCAATCCACCGACAAGATACCGACATAAACGAGCTTCACTAATCTTGTCATACACATCTATCTCTGAAATTTCAGCACAAATACTTTTAACTCGTAAAAAAGTATTTTGAAATTGACATACCTCCTCGTTTTAACATTGCCAACTCATTCTCCAATAGTTGTAACCTTGTTGTATTCTTCTTAGTACGCAACTTCTTAAGCGTGTCCCAGACTTCTTATGGAGAGCTAACATCACGAACATAATCAATAAACTCCTTGCTGATAGATGTCCTCAAAGCAAAAAGAGTCTTGACACACTTGATCTTCCATTTCCAATATCAGTAGGAATCCCTACATTAGCACTAGTAACTAATTCCCACAAATCATGACCTTGAAGATACGTCTCCATACACATTCTCCAGTACTTGTAGTTATTATTGCCTACAAGCTTCTCCATCCCGTTACTGAGTATTTCCCCCGTTTGCTACCTCCATTTGCAACAAACAAACAAAACTTTCTTTTCAAAACTTTCAAACTCCTGCAACAAGACAAGCTTGATAGACAAAACAAAAGAATAGCCTTCCGGCTGGCTCTAATACCATAAAATAAAAAGAAGAATAAAATGAAGAGAGAAAGTTAATAAAAGCTTTTATTGAAATGGGAAATACAATAAAAAATCTTGGTGAGAAGAATGCAGCCTTCATCTCAATCACATCGGCTATTTAAAGACCTGTTCCACTAAGCCACTTCCCACAAATCTCTCCAACCACTCACATCATATTTACCACTACTAAAATCTTATCTAGATAAAAACAAAACAAAACAAAACAACCCAAGCCACTTTCTACCGTGAACAAGCCTCACGTGATAGCTATTTGACTTAGTAAACAAAATGAATAAAATAAATAAATGAACCACAATCACATCGTGCCGTACGTTAAGTTGCACTAATTTTTGACACTCTTTTCTTCTTTTCTTCCTCCTACTCTCTTTCTTCTTCCCTTTTCTCCCTTGTCAGAATAGGCTCCAAGATAGCTAGATTTGGCCACCGTAAGGCCATCATGCTGTGGCCAGATTTGGATTGTCGCTTTTTCTTTCTTCTCTCAACAAAAACCCAATTTCATTTCTCTCTCCCAAGTAAACTCCTGTGTTTCCAATCTGGGTTTTTAGGTGGGTTTGTGGATGAGTTTGTGGTGGTTTTTGGGTGGGTTTGTAGCTCGGTTTGTGGTTGTTTTTGGATTGATTTATAGCTAAGTTTGTGGTGGTTTTTAAGTGGGTTTGCAGCTGAATTTGTGAGTGATTTGGTGGTGGATTTTGGGTGGGTTTGCGGTTGAATTTGTGAGTGATTTGGGGTGGTTTTTGGGTGGGTTTGTGGCTGAATTTGTGAGTGATTTGGTGGTGGTTTTTGGATGGGTTTATGGTTGGATTTATGAGTGATTTGGTGATGGTTTTTGGGTTGGTTTGTGGCTGAATGTGTGAGTGATTTGATGGTGGTTGTTTAGTGGCAACAAGGTTTAGAGGGATTGTGATGGTGGTCGATGAGTGGAAAGTGGTGGGCGATGGTGGGGACTTTGGGGGTTTCGGTCATAATGGTGTTGAAAGGCGGTGGGTGGTGGCGTGGTGTAATCAAAAGTAAGGGCAATATGGTAATAGCTTGTTTTACATTGTGTCAGAAGTAAAAAATATTAACGGTGTGAATTTAAGGATGGGAATCTAGAATTTATGAAACCAATGGTGGAAACTTGCCTTTTCGCTAAACTTAGGGTGGGAAAATGTTGTTTGCTCATTTTTTTGGGATGAATTATTTCACTCCACCCACCTTACCACCACCACTCTATCACATGCCCCCCATTACTAATAACCAATCACACCTCCCCTACTGTAGCAAAATCTTGTTGTCGTTCCTCCCTCACCCCTACAAGCCGCTTTCACGACCTCAAAGTGAACCACTGTTTTACTCCCCTTCTTATTTTTCTTTTTTACTTTTTTTTTTTTAAAATTTGATGAAGAAACTTCTTTTTCCTGGTTAGTTGTGTGGGATGTTAAAATTAATTTTACTGATTTATACTTGTGGGTGGATTTGTTTTCATGGTTAAAAGAGAGGGTGGAGCTGCTGTGAGGGGGAAGGGGGAAATGACTTCATGGTGGTGGTGGTGCAAAAGTAGTAAGGGTTGTTGGGTTGTGGCTATTGAGGTAAGAGAGGGTGACTTTGTATAAGATCGTGGCGATGGTGGTGCGAAAGTGGGTAGGCACCTCTTGGTCGATGGGCTGAGGGGCAGGGGCTGGAGCGGTGGGGTTGGATGGGTGGAGGAAATAAATTGAAAAAATATATATATATATATATATATACGTTGACCAAGTCGAATCTCAAGGGTATAAAACTATTTAAACCAATTTGATGACGAAAATTGACGAA